ATATGAAAGATCAGGAGAAGCAACCAGGTGCGCGTAGTATCGAGGCTCACAACGCAATGTTCTCTGCTAACCAAACTGTAGAGCCGGCCCCATAGCCAAGCTTTGTGATTGTCTTGAATCTGCCATTGAGCACCGCGCCAGGTCGGGTAGGATAGAAGGATTTCAGTCGGTCGTCTGGTAGCAGCTCCTCGTCAATGGGCTCATTTATCATGTGACTTGACCATCTCGAGCGAGGCATTGACGATTGACGAGGCCGAGAAAATAATCCTATTGGCCTTTGCCTCCAGAGAGCTCGCAGATTCATTCTAGAGATGATGACCATCTTGAAGTCCAAGCTGCGTCGCGCTGATTAACGTGCTGGTAGAGGAACGACCTGCGGCTACTTTTCGGTGCCTACATGTAGGGATATTATGTAAGTGCTCACGTGTTGGCATAATCTCTTGGCCTGAGGTTGGTACATGTATCTTGCCATCTCTATTTGTGCTCGAAAGCTAGGGAGCCTGGAGTCGTGCTCCCGATGCCCAAGACGGTGGAAACGGTACTGCGGTTTTACATACACACAAAAAACTTCGCCAGGAAGTGCCTCTGTGGGGAAATGTTATGGTGAAGTGAGCATAGACTTTGCAGCAAGAGCGGCGGAAGAAGTTTCCAGTGTCTGAACAGTGCGAGCGGTAAGCTGTGTGATCTGAATGAGTACATACAAATGCCATTCTTTCCAAGCCTCGTAATCTATCATAGCTATCTATATTACCACGGCGGTTTTCTACGCCCCTTTTCTTCAAATTGCGAGAGCTGTAAGCCAACCCTCATATGTCTATCGTCTGTCCATCTCTAATGCCCTACATCAACGACAATGAGATGATGTAGCAGGGGAAAGAAAGTGACACATTCTCATCTACAGGTGCTTTTTCGCAGAGCCATTCATAACCTTGGTCTTCTCAAAGACTTTTGCAATAGTCTTGGCACTGTATCCCATCAGAGCCAGCGGAATGACAATCCAAAAGGCATTGCACAGCACAAAATAAGCCCAGTAGTAGTAACGCTCAGGGCGGGAGTAGGCCACCCCGTTCACATACTCATTGTACCAGCAAATGACATAGTACAGCACATCACCATAGAGCTGGCCCATGCTGACGAGCAGTTGGAGCGGGTGTCTCCAGGGGTGGTTCGTGATGGTGGCGTAGGCGATAAAGAAGGACAAAGGGCCCCAGAAGAAGGCGGTGACGGTTTCCATGCAGACAACAAAGGGGTCTTGGGTCATGTAGCGCGAGTCGGAGAGAGAGTACTCCTTCCAAAGCTGACCAAAGAGGTCGGTCTTACTGGCCATGTCAAAGTGGTTGTAGGAGAAGTAGCCTAGGCGTGTTATGAGTCAAGTGGACGGGTTGGATGAATGGATGGGCGGCAACGTACCTTCAAAGGTCAGGTGAATAAAGCCGCAAAGAACCCACCAGAATGCAACGAGCACCTCGCCAAAGGAAATGGCTGGCCTGGTCCTCACGGCAAACAGATAGGTGGGCACGAAAATAACGCCACAGCCGGCGGCAAAGATGGACACCAAGACACCGGCGTTCATGGTGTTGGCGACGTATGTCGGGATGGCCACGCCCAGGGGGTAATAGGGGTGGTGCGCACCGAGCGCTTCAGTGATTGGGCCGTCCATTATGGATTGAAGCGCTGCCGCGTGAGAGCGAGTGAATGTGTGCCTGGCTGACGGCACCGTTTTGGGTTCTTGGTGTGAAGGAACAAGGACACACGGCCGAGCCACGGCGTTGGAAAGAAAGGGGCAATTGGCGAAACGTTTTTTAGATTGCATTGCGATAAGATTGAGATTAACCAAGCTTAGTTTAGCCTAGTGGGGCCCTCGGTTGACGTACGGTCTTATTTTAGTACCCGTCCGTTAGCAACTGAGTGGAGTCTGGTCGTTAATTGTATATTAATTGCATCTAATTGTATTTGGCTAATCAGGGAATTAATATCCTTTCTGATACTTAACGCATAATACAAATTTAAAGTCCTCGGTTGCTATAAACAAAGGAATTACCAGCGCCCCTTTTCCAAGAGTGCCCATTTGAGTTCCCTTGTTTGGTGAGAACGACGATGCTCATCTAGCTAGCAAAGAGTTGATGACATCATTGTAAAACCCAATCCTTCCATCGATCCGATACAGCCACATAGCATGTGCGAAATTCTGCACCGTCGAGTTAGCAAGCGTTACAGACAAATGATGGTCAAGTCCTCGAGATGCCTCCGCCGCCCTAACCAAGTTGATATAATTCTCGCGGTCCTCCAACCGCTTACGATCCGTCTCGTCTTCGTGGTAGAGTGGTCCGTCCAAAGCCGGCGGCAACATGCATAGATCCTTGGCAAATTCTACCATCTCCCATGGCAGAATAAATGAATCTTCCCAGTCAATGACATAATATTGAGAGGCAAGAACGATGTTGCTGCAGTATAGATCAGTGTGGAAGAGGGGGAATGGGCCTGTTCGGAAGCTATATTCCTTTGCCAGCTCCTTGAGTCTGGCCGGGAATAATCGGATTGACTCTAGTATTTCATCGACCAATTGTGGAGGTGTTCGTTCACGGATGGTCTTTTCAGAGTAAGGAAACTTGAGGTGGTCAGCCCAGGCTTCCAGAAATTGCGCTGGCGAATCGAAGGGACCGCCGATCCCAGGGAGCGGCCCTACGCAATACGCCCCGTTGGAAGCCTTGACGATGCCTCCAATCTGGGGAAAGCGTATAGCTGACTTTTGTACCTAGATTCCAGAGGGTTAGATAGCTCCACTAAGAACGGTGCATCGTGTATACCTGAATGTCTGCCAATGTAGCATGGAAATCTGGTGTAAAGCTCTCGGGAATCTTGCCCTTGTGAACCTGGTAGCCGCCAAATGAATCCATGATTGTATCTCCGGGTAAAAACTCCATGATCATAAATGGGGCACCAAAGACGTTATCATAGTTGGCCTCGTAAGCATACACTTCGGGGACGGGAATTTCTGAACGCTCTCGGACCACCGACATTGTATGGACTTCTTGCTCTAGGCGTTGGATTGACTCTGGTGTTGGGTCGTCTAATTGGATTCGTACGAGCCAGCAGGCGCCGTCCTGGAAGTGCAGACGTCGAACTAGGTTTCTACCGCCTTTGTTGTTTTCAACAGAGAGCTGGCAGGTAAATGGAATCTCGCTTTTCTCGATCTTCTGCCTAGTGGCTTGGGCATATTGTAGAAGAGCATCCCAGTTAACAGCACCGAGTGCAACCTCCTTGTCGATATCTGTATTTGCCCAGTTGAGCACAGGGGCACCATTGCTCGATAGATTTCCACTCATGTCGAAGATGGACTGGGCATGAGGAGAGAAGCTGGCAGGATACAAAGGACAAACCAAGTCCTTTTTGCTGGCACTCAGCGTTGCTATAGCGTAATTTCGGTTTCGCCTAGCCGTGGCTGGAGGGAACCGTTCTTTGCTGACTTTGGTGAATAGATCTGGGGCAAAATACCGAGGGACAAAAATCACATTTTGGTGTGAGCTGGCTAAACTTCGGTCGCGGCGTTTCCGAAGCAACTTGCCTCGGACGCAGTTGTGGAATGCTTTGAAGCACAGACGCGAATTGTATGTTGAGAGGAAAAAACAGAGGATCTACCAAATTAAACCTCGTAATTATGCGAGACCTCCACTTTTGGCAGAATGGCCTAAGACTCGACTCTACAATATTGTAACGGCACAAGATACGCAACAAACTTGTCTCCCAATTCTCAAGTATCATTTTAATATCGACTAGTATAGTACTCTGAATTCTTGACTACATACGAGGACTACTAGACTAGTAGCCTTTGTTTCAATCATCGTTTTTCGGACGTGTCCATCATGGCTGGATGTGTACCAGTCCAAAGTGGATGCGAGGAGTGCGTGAAGGAAGTATGCAGCTTAAAGAACTCCTGTAATGCGACCGACCCCGGGTAGATGCTGCCCTCCATTTATCCCATTGAGTGTGCGAAGGTGCAGGTTATGTATCGGGCCTATTTTCCTGCGACCCCTGTTAGATACTTTTATCACTAAGTATAATTACGGTGAGGTAAATGTCTTTATGTATATTTAAAGATAACTAGTACATATATGCTTATATTTCTTACTATTAAGGATAAGTATCTTTGAATAATTGGCTTCTTATTGGCCCACATCCCGGTCCACTATAAAAGCTGCACCTTCGCACACTCAATGGGATACCATAGGTCCATATCCTACCTGAGAGCCGCAACTGAGCGCCTTCGCTGAGCTTGGTGAGATGACAGGCAGCCTGGTCAATGCTCCGGAAGTGGGCAGATTTGCATGGAGATGTGGTTCCAATGCAGCTCCTGTTAAAGTCCCCGTAAACACTGAGACGCCTTTCGACATGCGGAGCCAAAGTGCTTGCAATTGCACAGAGCCAACGATTGTCTGAGCTCGAATGTACAATGGAGTACAGCAACACCAAACAAAAAAAGGGGTTAAAAGCGCCGATACCACAAACACGCGCAACACCTGCGTTCTCAAGCTATTTCTGAACAAAGGAGAGACTTAATAAGTCATGCCCACTGCCGTTTATGAAGAAGCCGCCATCCTCCACATTCATTCACGTCGTGAGAGGCAGATGGGGCGTCCGGGCCGAACCGCCGTGTCACCAGTACTAAGACTCTGCCCCACTTCTTTGGTCACATCATGGTCTGCCTGATTGGTTGGTGCTCTCCATGGACCCACTTCGCGTCTTCCCCAGACCCTTTCAGACATCCATCATTTCCCTTTATTCTGTTGCTTGTCCACAACATGTGAAACTTGATGGCCCCAAGTTCTTTGTGAGCATTGCATATCATGGCTCACAAGGGCATTTATCTGTTTGTTCTGTGGCTAGGCTTGCGCTCGGAAAACACTTTCTTATCTCTGAGCCACCGTCGTTTTCTAATCTGCAAAACGGTTCGTTCCCCCCATCGCATTTCGAGTGTTAAATACTGCCACGAATAGCCTATCATGGACCGCATAATAAGAGGCCCTTGGCTTAACTCTGCCCTTGAAGAAATCGCCAATGACTCCGACGCACGCAACCGAGATATGGCGCGCTATAGGCAACCTCCCCCGCCCTACACATCGCCTTGTCGGTCCGCTGCCACCACAGAATTTGAGGTTCCTGATTTCGAGGAACCACAAGCCCCACTGACACGATCGGAGCTCAGGCTCAAGCTCCAGCATGAGCGATGTGCTTCATGTCCCTATCACCAGTTCATGGACCAATGGAATGATGGGAGAAGGGAGGTTGAGAACGAAGTCAACAAAAATATGCTCAGCGGACGTCTAGATCCCATGTACGTGGGCCCGGGCCGCGGTCCTGACAGCATGAGTCATCAAAGAGTCAAGGAGAGATGGGTAGAACAAGGCATATGGAGAGACAACTGGAGCGAAATCCCTAAATATGACTGGAAGCACGAAGAGCCTCCCGAGTCTGATTCGTGTTCTGATTCGGAAATCGAATCTGAGACGCCGGCTTGTGCTGCTCCCTTTTCTTTCAGCTCGAATCCTCCACGACCGCGACTGCGACCACGACCAAATAAATCCGACCAAAAAATTCGGGAAGCCGCTGAGCGGCGAGAAATAGGGAGAGGCATCCGTGAGAAAGAGAGAAACGCCTCCCGTCCGTTCGAGCAGTTCCTCTACCAGCTGCGAAGAGAGAGTAAACGACTGGAGGCCGATTTAAGAGATACTGTGACCATGAATCTCGATATTAATGCATTGGCCTTCCAAAATGTCCAATGAGCCTGGGTCAAACGGGCCATCTGGGATGATGAATGGCGTGGATTTCCTGGGATGTCGTGGAAATGTGAACGACCTCTGGTAATGCCGCCTACCCGTGATCCTTCGCCGGACCATGCGCAATCTGTCGAGAATCAGCTTGAGCCAAGGATAATACCCACAGACGGATTTGGCCATGTGGATGCCCATGTATCACATAGCCAGGAAATGCAGACACCGTTGGAGAATGGCATTGCGGGGGCTACTGAGCCACGGAATTCTTCAGCAGCAGCACCTCCACATGCACGAATGATTGAAAGCATAGAGAATGAAGAGCATGATGCTGCAGAGAATCACCCGGAACATGATTCATCTCGCATAAGGGACAAATCAAGTTCGAGCCTCCCGTCAAACCCAGCCGGGGCTGTATCTCCGCAGGGATCGAACGTGGATCATAATGCTGCCACTGGATTCGCATCCAACACCATTGCTGTACTGCCTGACCGGAAGCTTGCAATAGTTGAAGAAAACCCAGTTAGCTCGCCCCCCCCGGAGGAGCCAACGACTCAAGGACAAGGCTAAAAACCGTCCAGTTATAGTGCCTTTATTTGAGCAGACCGTGAAGCCTTTGCGCCAAACAAGACGGAAGCCTGCCGGCGCATCAAAGACTCAGGGTATATCCAAGCGTCTTGCACCCTCAAAGCTAAGGAAACAAGCCAAGAAGAAGTAAACTTCCTGCGTTATTTCGAAAGCAAACAAATCACCCCGACAGGCTATGGATAATAGCTATAGCTGGATCCCAAATGTAACGGCTAAGGTTTTTAAGAGATAAACTAGTTAGCCCGTGCGAGCACTCGCCTCGCCGGGCGGAAAGGACATCTGGGTTACGGCGCGAAACAGCAACAAGCTCCTTGCATTTGATGCGGCAAAACTAGTTTGCAGCCCATTTGATGCTCTTCTGGCTGAAGTTCAAGTCGGTACTTCGCCCGTTGGCTCTGTCTTAATCAACGGTGATGGAGGGAAGTATATTATTACAGCCGATTCGAATAGGTTTCACTACACTGGTGCGACGACGCGCCTAACCGTTGTTAATACCAAAGCGGCCTTGGGAGGTGTCCAGGGCTTTCCGAGAATTCCCACGGGTTTGTATCCAAGGGAGTTTGGACTTAGTCCGGATAGGAGGAGACTTCTTCTTGGTCAGTATGGCAGCAAGGCGATTCAAGCGATGAATGTAGGGGATATTATGAAGAGGATTCAAGGCCTCTTCTTAGGAAAGCGATGGGTCGCAGGGTGAAATTAGGTCCAGCCAGAACTAATTTTATGTGGTGAAATTTGCAGTGCAATAATACAATTGGCATTTTACCCGCGGAACGCGGTAATACAATTATTGCACCGCTTGTTATCTGTATTTTTACAGGCACCTCATAGGCAGAGAGTTCAAATCTACTTGATTTATCACGAACGGTCTGCAAATCCCTTCAAAACAGATAAAAAGGCCGAGAGATAAACGGTTGGTGTAGTAGAACCTGAGTCGACCGGGACTTGGAAACAGTGTGCTACGGTAAATGAAAAGTGACTACTTCTTCCCTCGCTGGATAAGCTGGGAGCTCAATAGCCATAGGTGCTTTGTATAGCTTGCTATGTTGGACTCTCACACGTAATTTATGAGCCCTGCACGAATGGTGGTCTGGGGGATTTCTGGCTCTCTCTGCAGTCCAGTTGTGAAGCACCTCGAATACGCGGTGTGTTTTGAACAAAGCTGCAAGCGTACCTGCAGATAACGTAGCCACCACGGCAGCTTTTTGAATCGGGGAAAATTCACAATATTTCGACCGGTTTGCTGGCAATTCTTTGTCAAGGGCACGTTTTTAAGGCATGGCGTTGCCCACGTTCAGCCCTGAAATGGGTCGTAATACCTTGCATGAGCGACTTGAGTTGACACGCCTTCTATAGACGAGCAAGAGGATGGCGACCTCTATTTTAGAGACGAAATGGTAAGAATTTCGAGTGATATTGTAATGTTAGTAAAATTGATCTAAAGTATAAGTGTTATATATTATGAGTGTAGCTTTGTAGAGCAGTCAAGCTATTTAAATACCCGCAGGTCTCGTGGCTTGTTCCACCTAAAGTCTGACTCGTTCTCGAGCATCTTCTCTCAGCAGCATGAATTTCATTAATTAATTTGGTCTAAAGCAGTAGCAACTTACATCGCCATTACAATAACACGCCAAATGGGTAATTTTAGCCATGACAGAATCAGGCAGGCCTGTGAGTCTGACCACGGCAGTCGTTGAGGCAGGGCTGGATGTGGATCCAGACATATCAATACTGTTGGTCTCATAAGGGATTAATGTTACTAGTAACAGGATGCAAATCGTATATATTCAAAAGTCTAAGAAAAGAGAAGCTATTCCGTACGTACAGCCCGATATCGTGGCCTTTATAGTTGGTATTGTTGCCCTGGGTAACCCCTATTGCGGACCGCCCCACAGGCCCGGCTGGTGGTGCCGGAACAGAATAATATTAATGCAACCAATCAGGGTGGTTGTAGGCCGGAGCAGATTGGTCCGACCGAACAACGCCACATCGTGGGCCAATAATTATCACAATAAATACAATCCATTTGATACGTGAATTACTCGCGGCGTTATTAATTTTTATTACCAGGGGAACAGCTAATACATAATTAGTAGGTTAAAGCGCGCAAAAATTGACCCACTAACTATTAACTGGCCGTTTCCGTAGTAAAAATTAATAACGCCGCGAGTAATTCACGTTTTGCATTCAAGGATCTACCCCTATGGTCCCAGAAATTAAGCCTCGGATTGAAGCCTTGAGTCAGTGGCCTGCGTGGATATTTGGGCTCGTGGAAATATGCCACTATCCGTGTCAAGACTTGATTATAGATAGGTAAACTTCACTCTTTGGCATTTCATGCCGGAAGGCTACGCATAGTAGAGAAAACTTATGCCAGCATCTGAACACATGTCCATCGTGTCGTAAGCAATTCGTTGATACCAGACGCTTTATGTTATAACAAATGCTACCTGAATTTGGCGCTGGTACAATGTCACTGCGAGGGAGGCATGACTTGCAATTTCAATCAGGTCCATCTACTTGCTGGCTTCAAGGGCCACAGTCATCGGCAGACTTATACTTGGCATCTGTTGGACCATTTTAAGCGGGACGTCCAAAGTGACGTTCCAAAGTAACGTTACCAGGTACCGCAGCTATCATCATGGGCTTTGTACGCCTTGCACCACCGCTCTAAACGACGGCTTTGCCACCCCGATCCGACGAGAGCTAGATAGCGGCAAAAAGGTATGTATAGCTGTATCAAATAACTGAAACTAGCTTCTCTCAAGTATGATAGAAGGTAGTGTAATACTGCCTATTCTATAGCGATATATTATTGATACTCAGACGAGAACTTTATACGCGGCGTTTAAGTATATCCCGAACCTTATAAGGGGCGTTCGGATTTCAGAATCTTTTGCTATTGCTATTATTAGCAAAAATTCTTAGTCAGATATAAAGAAATAACGTAGCTCTGACGCAGAACTAAGATTCTCCTTTGTAGCGGGAATACGTTCTATGTCGCTACATATATCCTTATTCAGGTTGGTGACAGCCCATTGCACGGCTTGAGCTGCCTCGTCTGCCGCCTTCCGAGCACGCCTGTTCTTGCGACTATACTATTAATAATCTCTAAATTTATTTTTCGGGTCCCTAGTTGTCGTGGATCTTCGCCGGGGCCGTTGAGATGCACCCGGCTGATAATAACTTTGAATGTAATAATACCACCGAATAAAGGCATCACAATCTGCTCATTATTACGACCCCGACCGGTTTATCCCTTGGGAGCCCCAACCGTTACATGCATCCGTTATGGGAATAAGCATCACCCCTATTAGTGCGAGTTCTGCAAGTGCCAAATAAACAGGGCGTGGCACGAGTAATTCTTGTCTGTAAGGTAACTAATCAATTAGTTGGTTTCTAGCACGTGTAACAGTACAAGAGCGCGAGCAAGGTCGAGCTGGTGGGACCAGACCTGACTCGACATGGACATAGCTATTCAAGTTCTAAGGTGGGGCTGTTCCTTCCCTTACAGCATGCTACAGGCCAAATGAGCCCCGCACCTCAAATTTCTAGTACGCCGCATAAACGTTGCGTGACTAGAGATAACATTGAAATTAAAATATTTCGGTCCGAGCTAGTAAACACTCTATTACCATAAACCTGAGGCATAATGTCAAGGGGCTATCTGGATCCCTATACATGTGCCATGCCCTGGGTCCTTAGATGCTCCGTTATATACAAATACACATGTAGCGGTAAAGTGGGACCCGGCAGCTGGGCAGCTCTATTCTAGACATGACGTATCGGCTGATATCTGAGTCATTGCCTGACAGGTGACGCGTTTCGCCCTATGCAGGAATTTACGCTAGGTCGCCATGCTTCCCCTTGGTTTAGGCAAATTAGTAAGACAAATCAAAGGAGCTTAGAAAGATTTTATAGTATATAAGGGCTAGATCCGCCGAATATTATATACTAATCTGTACTTAAAAATAAGCATTTTTCTCCTTCACTTATTTTAAGAATATTATTAGCTTATTTGATAGTCTCTTCACGATGAAGTATACCTATCTTGCATTTGCGACTCTCGCCGGTCTGGCCCTGGCAGCACCACAGACTACGCCTGCCTTGACTGAGGCGGATATAAATGGTATTATCGTACGCAGATTTTATTCTTATTTAATATGTAATACTTTTGGTAGACAGCTAACTCTTAAATGAGCACAGACCCCGCAGCGAGTTTTGGAAATATGTTACGACCCAGCCGCAGGCTGCAGTGTAGGTCGCAGAATGGGCCGGCTGCATGAGCCACCCCGCGGTGGTAACCACTGGCGGGAGAACCCCGGTAGAATTGGGCGTGTAAGTGATCGAAGCATTCGAGGTTTGATCACTTTGACAGGTATAAGAATCGAGGGAATTGAGTCTCGATTCACTCGATTGACCTCACGCGATGGACTATATAGCCGCTGTAATTTTCTTTCTCTGTAGATAGACTTTAGCTCCTTAGCTTTTAACCACGATCATTACATTGACCTAAGCTTCGCTTATAACTCTTTGACTCTGATCACTTGGTTATGGTCTACGACCTATCACCAACGTAACAACCAACCGCTCAGATTGACTGCCCTAGTTGTTCTGCCAACATAAACTACGACTAGTTTATCCCTTGGGAACCTTAGCCGTTACAAAATAGCAACGGGCCAAGACCTCTTGTGCAAAGAAGAACAGGTAGCTAGGCATAATGCTCCTAACCAAACCTTCCCATAGCTAACACGATATTTGTAGAGGGGTAGGATTTCCTGTTCATCATTTATGCGGGTAAGTACTCTCCTGGGACTGTCTACTATCTCAAACTCTATGCTATAATCTAATGCTAACTATTAATAGCGTAACAAAGATATACCTGTAAGCTTTTATACTTGACTATTTATGAAGCTGTCCGTTATAGGAGATTTACTAATTTAATAACCTACAATAGGCCAAAGATGGTCTTAGCCCTCTTTGCCAGGAAAAGAAGCGCGACGTGAGTACAATTCGGCAGCATAGGAGCACGTTAAAAACAAAGAAGTTGCTAATATAGCATTTAATCTTAGTGCCAATGCCAGATAGAAGCAGACTCCAGAGACCGGGTATGTCCCTACTGATAAGAAACCTACACTAGACTACTAATATATAAATTAATAGTGGTCTTATGCCTGCACATTTGACCCTTTTCACCAGGATCTGACGGAGGAGCTTATCTTCTCAGACTAAGATCGCCGACTAGGCTAGCTGGTTACTACTATACTTCGGTATTTTAGCCCGGCCACGAATAACAAAAGCAATTAAAGGGGGGGTTAGTGTAGGTGAATTTATGTGTTAAATAGTGAATAGGCGGAAGATTATTCGCTACTTGGCATATAGAAGGTATTTTTGTTATTCAACATAGCAATTACCTTGGTTCGTGTTTTTATTAATAGACGGTTTTATTAACCTAGTAGCCAAACTTGTGACGGTACAAGACTTGTTATTAACCAAGCTTCTCTTTATAAAATTATTATTATTATTTTAAGTAATATAAGCTCTGTTTACAGCTCTATATTTAATATGAGAATTAAGTGTAATTTAATATTAATAAGTGAAAGGTCTAGTTATTCTCGCGCACTTTCCCTACCCCTAGGACAACTCGTTCGTATCAAGGTCTTGTAAGGATAATAAATGCTCTTGCACCTCTTCTCCCCGCCAGTACAAGGTATAGGGGAGATGTGGAGATATATAAACAAGTCAAGTAGTTGAGGTACAAGAAGAAGGGCTTGGGCCCAGTAATCGGAATAGTCTGGTCTGTCTTGGTCCCAGCCTGGTCTAGACCGCCAAGACTTGGTCTGGTCTGAGGGTTTCTCGAGACCATGGTCCGACCGGTCCGACTACTATAAATAGATTAAGCTGAGAGGGTTATGGCGGCTGGTGGCTGTAGTTTTGCCTGATATGGTTACATGCAGTCTTACTCTGCTTTTTCTATGAGGGCTCTCTCTTCCTTGAAAAGGGACAATCGGGCAACATAACAACAGTCTGGTTGCCTGACATAATATGCAACATCATGCTCAGATGTTGTTGATAGAACCTGTAGCCCTAAATGCTTCCTGTTCCTATCAACTGCAATATCGATGCCAACATCTCTTACACCGTCGCCTGCTCTTACCCCGTCACCCGCCCGTACGTCTCCCGCTTCAACGCCATCGTGTACCCCTACGTCATTCTCTGCCACGATTTAACATCCCGAAGCTCCAGGTAAGTTTATGCAGGATTATGTCACGTACGTGAAATGCGTAATAGTCGTAAATAAAGGATATCGCCTTGGTTTATCACACATTTGGAAATACGGTCTCCAATATATTTGAGGTAGTAATAAGAAAGAAGTGTATTACCGACACGAATATATGGTCGCTTGCAGCATAGTTTTGCTCCGCCCAACTCTTCAAGTGCCGGTGGCACCGGTGGCTTGCATGGGTGGTAACAGGCGGACACTGAAAAGTTCCCGAATTTGGCAAATGCTATGCATAAGTGCTGGGTCTAGACTTTCTTGCCACAACAGGGCTGAAGCCTCGGCACGTAACTCCAAATATTGATCCACGATTCGCGATGCAAAATTGTGGCGTTTGTGCGACAGGTTAGTGATTTTATTGCACCGCGGTCCCATGAAACTCGCCATTCAACAAGCCGATTTGTCATGTCAAAGCCGGCGAGTTGCAAGATATACGAATACTAAAGTTACTAATGAGTTGTGTGAATTCCATTGTCTCCGACATGCCGGAAGACAATTTCATCTGCCACATTCTCTTCTTGGTATGTCGTCGCTACTATATAAAACTTCATCGCATCTACCAACCCCTGTAAGTTTCCAAAGCGGAGATAGGTCCAATTTTGTATTATCTCGACATTTCAACCACGTTTCGCCAGCAGCGATAGTTTCATCCACACTAAACCCTGAAAATGTCCTACGGTCCATTGGATGTCACGAAAGTGACGCCTCACTATTGGCGGGCTACAATCAATCTACCTCCTTTCAACCTCGCAGGGCCAGAGATTTTCCTTGGTCTCTGGGATCTCCTGCAGGATGTGGAAATTGACCAGGATCTCAAGGTCCTGGTTTTCGATAGCGCATTGCCAGACTTTTTCATCTCTCACTATGACCTTCAGAAAGCTCCATCCATCCCTCCTGATTTGTTGGCTAAATGGCCAGTGATGATGGTGAAGCTCGCCACCATCCCCGTCATCAGTGTTGCCGCTATTCGTGGAAGAACCAGAGGCATAGGATCTGAGTTTGTCTTGGCCTGCGATATTCGCTTCGGCAGCGAGGAGAAAGCCATTCTGTCACAAGGGGAGGTTAGTTTTGGACTTTTACCAGGAGGCGGTGGTATGGAACTACTCCCAAGACAGGTCACACGCGGACGTATGCTCGAGATTGTTTGCGGTGGTGACGAATTCGATGCGGTAACTTCCGCGGCATACGGCTGGATTAATCGAGCTGTGCCCGATGCCGAATTCGAGACCTTTGTCGATCGATTTGCACGTCGTGTAGCTGGATGGGAAAAGGCATCATTGATGTCATCGAAAAAACTAACGAATCAACGCTTTGGACTTCCGAAAGTGGAAGAGATTTCCGAGTCCACCCAAACTATGGGACGGCTCTGGGTCAATCCTGAAGTACAAAAGAGGATGCAATTGTTGTTTCAGAAAGGTCTGGAAAGAGACCGAGATGTCGAGCTGAATATCGCAGAGTTTACTGCAAAGCATGCAACATGGTTTACTGAAGGATAGAGAACTACTACAGATATGGGGCCGGCTCCTACGACGATCCTGTTAATTGATACCACGTTGCCGAGCTTAATGTATCTCACAAGTTGCGGAGGGAGGCACGGTGAGCGTGATTCGATTTCTCAAGTGATGCAATTATCGAGAAATAAGGAGAGTGAATGATAAAGTTGATTTTATTTCCAGTCTCCCGGAACACTGTGGTCCCCCAAAATTAGCTCTGCGATCAGAGTGTAGGCAGAGGAATCTGCGGGTGGCGGTAGCATTCTTGGTAAAAGGATATTAGCATGTGTCGGGAGGAGGAAGAAAAAATGATCAATTGGGGTCATAAGCAGGGTCAAACCGCTGCCAAGTTGTTTCATCTGGTGGACGTCCGAGGAATGTCGAGGGACAGAGCCCAAATGCCAAAGAACCGCGGTCGCTTGATACAATTTGAGCAATCTGAAATTTCGCCCATTCGCTCCACATTGGCTTATCCAGGTATGGGACTGCTCCTCCACAATCAGTTGCCAGCTTAAGATGTCAACTTGGAACTTTGCAACGATGGTGCGTGAGTCAACGGCGACTACATTTCTGGTTCTGCGGGGTTCAAGGTTCAGGCCGTTGGCAAATTCTTGACCGAGAACCGTGATGAGTTGGATATTATTTCCTATCTCGGCGCGTCGGCCATGTTGTGCTTTGCACGCAGCCAGGCAGCCATCCGCATTTCATCATTGCGGCTAGAGAATGTAAAAAACAAAAAGTCGAACCACATAGTCTTGCCACAAGCCGTGTATTCTTTGAATATTTATAAAGAGCTCATTGGTTCTGTGGAATAATCTGGATAAATATGGTGGCCGAGTAATTCGGAAGCCTTCAACCGCAGTCGGTTTCGGGAACAAACCTCCCCCCCTCTGCCTCAGTATTCGCTCCTGATCATAGCACCGATCATGTCTACATCAGCCATTCGGAGCCTCATTCACGGTCAATTTTGCATCCTGCAGAGCGACTTGGGATGAGGTGTCAGCCGCCGCCACACTCCACGCTCATTATCATTATGAAGTATTTTTACTTCCCGGGTGACATTATGCAATTTTTTAAATACTTTGTTAGTATACGCATGAGATTCGAAGAGGACGGAAGGCATGGTGTTGTGTTGAGGCGGAAACCTGGCATTCCGATCTCGTTCCAGGTCACGAACGGCATATCTGAGCTACTGTGATCTACGCTGGAATTTACAGTTAACCAGCGAGCTAGTCGCTCGTATACATACCGCAATCATGATGACGTGTTCTATCAACACGGATAGCTGCGCAGTTGCCTCAGATACCATCCGTCAGTCTGCCCACAATTTAGGCTTGCGTCTCGACAAAGATATGACGGCTGCTGTGTAGGCCGTGGATGATTCAAACCCGCGGTATGTTCCCGCCATCAAGGAGAATCTCGTTCGCCTCCCTTTGGCTGAAGTGAAATGGACAATAGAAGTGGACGGCGGATAAAACTGCAATCAAGGAGTACATTGTTGAGCTGCGGTATCACACTAAGATATAAGATTTCCAGATTCCGAATATGGTTGGTCTGCGCGGCCCAAGGCTCTGTTCCTGCGGCAGTGAATGGATATCCATGATCAAAATAGCTGATATGAGATGGCCTAATCAATTCCATGATTAATTGATGATTAGTATGGCCAATGTAAAGAGTGCGCGTAAATTAAGCTATTTTAATTCATCATTTCGACTTGGTTTCCTCAAATTACCTTTCAAGCGCGCGAAGCACGGCGATTTGATCCATTCATAATCATCGGTGCTTCCTCAGCACGAACGATTACCGCGGCCATCGGATGCTGTTTGATTTAATCAACAGGACCACCCTGATCCTTCACACTTGTAATACGACGTCTTAAAATCTTCTCTCTAACCAAAGAGGTATCCCAGTACAATTTTACATCTAGATATTGCAGTCCATCAAACCCGTCTTCCGACTCACTTGGACCGATGGTGAAAATGAACAATCTAGGAACTGAAACGGGTTCCGGGTCGCCCTTGACGTAGTATTTTGCCATAAATTCGGCATTGACAGTATAAATTGGAGTATCCTGCTCGGGGATTCCTTCTTCGATGACCAGAAAAGTGAGACCGGTGAATTCAATTTTGTCAAATGAGGAGAAGAGACGTTGCATCCAGGCCTTAATGTCGTTGGCACCGTTATATGTGACATTTGTGGTGTCAAAGAAGACGCATGAAGGAGCGTAGTATTTTGTTGCGGAGTACTGGATGCCAATATCGGAAGCCACCTCCTTGGCGTAGGACTCAATAAAACGCAAAGCTCTGTTTTGACGAGAGGCGGCGTTCCAATCCCCAGTGTGTCTGAATGTAGCTGCGTTCATCCTTTGCATACTTGGGGGTGAAGAGGGTTGATTCTGATCAGATATGCTTCAGTGTGACGTGTTATTATTAGTTCAGGTTACTTGTGATGCTGAAAGCTACACTCCGTTGACCCATGGTTGTTTGACGTCTAACCCTACGTACTTGTACAAAGTTGAAACGCGAAACCAGGCTTCCACGTTGCCTCGGTGCGGCAAAAACACACCAAAATTCAGCCATATGCCTAGGCAATACCGATTTGCCATTTAAATGAAGGCGCGGGCGCCATTTGTGATTTCACCAATTAGTAATTCGCTCTCCCGCTGGATTAACCCTGTGTTTTATAATGCAATGACATCATACCTCGGATCAAGGGGACAAAAGGTTCCACTAGTGATGAGCACTAAAGTTGACAGGTGGGGGCGAGGCAGCTGACATGGAGTGCCCAACATTGGTCAGCATCCTTCCCGAGGGCCGCCGCGATGCCGAGGCGCTAACAATCTGGCGCGCCCCACCCAGTGTGTATCAGTGCCTCAACCTGGGACCTCATACGTCTGTACATGGCTCTTCTATGCAAAATGATATACAAGGCTCTAAAATCCTTTATTAGAAGGGTTCATCTCCTTCATCCCTAGTCCTCGGAATTACAGTCATCTTTGTGTCAAAAGTCCCAAGTTATCACCCTCATAACTCAGGCCCAATTCCCAAGTTTGCCCTCCGTCTTGTTCTGCCGTCATGGCTCGCCCAGATCTTTTCTACGAACCTCCCAAGGGCGAACGCTCTGGTTTACCGCATGATCCGTTTAAAAGCTTTGTTATTCCTCGTCCGATCGGCTGGATTAGTACTACCAGCAAGGACGGCCAGGATAATCTAGGGCCATTTAGCCAATTTAACAACGTCTCCTTTGACCCCCCCACAATTCTTTTTATTGGACATCAATCTGTGTATAAGAAGCGCAGCAAGGACTCAGTCGTCAATGCCAGAGACACTGGCGAGTTTGTGTGGAATATGGCCACGTGAGTGCCCTCCCGTTACTCGACATCATGACCTCAGCGCCGACAACGGAGCACTAATTGTCACATAGCTATGATCTCAGAGATGCCGTCAATGCATCCTCCCTTGAGTCTTGGGAAGATGAGTTTCCCATTTCAAGTGTAACCAAGGCACCAAGCCGCGTTGTGAAACCGCCTCGTGTGGCCCAATCTCCCGTGAGCTTTGAGTGCAGGGTGCATTCCATCATTCGTATCCAAGGCGACTCGTTGGTTGGCCATTCAGATATTGTTGTGGGACGCGTGGTAGGAATCCATGTCAAAGGAGAATATATCACGCCGGATGGAGTAAGTACCAATGTTCTTGATGGATTGGATGCGTTTTGTTAACTGTTCCTGAATAGCTGTTTGATGTTCTGAAGGCTGCCCCGTTAGCTCGACTCGGCTACCATCAGTATACGGCTATTAACAATATATTTGATATGAAGATGCCATTCATGCCTGATGATACAGAGAGTATGGGTGTCCTGGCAGGTGCTGCGCCGCCCAAGGAAACGGAAAAAGAGGTTGAAGACGGAGCGAAATGAACCAGCTCTGAAGGTCGCATGCGGTATCTAATATATAATGTTCCATTTCCTCAATTTATTGCGCTAGATGCATGTTTTTGGTAGGCGGTGATAGGTAATAGTAGGTTTTGTTTTAGATCCATCTGAACTATTGCGTTTTTCAGACGCGGCCAATCGCCTAAGCATGCTCAAATTGAAAACCGCATCAAAGATACCAATGCCTGGCAACGAGAGATGTCTATGGCAGAGTTTGGAGGATTCCACAGCACTAGACGAGGCGAAACTGGCAATCTTGTAGTCTGCTGTGCCCGCCCAGTTGTCGCCACAGAGTTAGCGAAGCAAGGACAAAAGATCTTGGCCCGACAATGTCATTCGACAAAGGTAGGCGGCTTGTATAGTGCCAGCTCGATTGTGACGTGCTGAAGCAACAGCTAGAGCTCCATGGGTAGCGATAAACGTTGTTTTAATGAATGTAATGGCCAAAACTCTTCAAGGCATTCGCTTACAAGCCAAGTTAGCCACCCTAAGGAACAACAAACCTCTTTGTTACGAACCCAACCCAACTCTCCCCTTTCAAAATTCCTACTTCCCCGCAGACGTTAGCAGCTCGTCGGCGGCGGCTGGCTTTTCAGGCCACTCCACTCGCGGACTCAGAGCCGTCGTTACAGGCACCTGGTCGTCTTTGGAATCAGGAATCTTCTTCCGAACACTCTCGGCTGAAATGTCAAGTCCTGCCGCCGGTTAATCGCGGTCGGGTTCTACATCTGACGTTTGTGGCTATTCAAGAGCCGACTGGGATACCAATGATATTCCAGCGCCTCCACATTTCCAATACCTACAGCGCGTGGCAATGAATACCTAAGGGGGTGGTTATGACCTATCGATGGGTCATAAGCCATTTCAATGCGGATCTGGTCAGGTATGATAGCTACGAGAACCGGAGCAACTGCAGCTCCAGTGGCCACCCACCTACCACATACGTAGAAGTACCTGGGGTATGTACCGAAGCACGGAGTATACTTATCATAATGTCCCAAACTGTTGTAGAGCAGAGCTATTTATAAAGGCCACCAAACACGTTACATTTCCTCTTTGTATTCTTGGCCTCGTAGTATGCCGAGTCGTAGCGGATATACATATCCCTTTCCTTCCTACTCAAATCGGCTGCGGGCTGGCTTGCCGGTGAGATGCGTGGCGTCTCGTGTCAATGATATTTAACCACCACTAGCTGCCATTTTCCAGGCTCTCGGTGGCATTCTCAACAGACATAGCACTGCACCAATCTTGTACACACCGAGTCGCTAGGACCTTGTAGACCCAGAACTCCGGACTACTCGCCATGGATAATTCATTGAAAGACATACCGGAGATCTGGCTGCGGTTTGAGCCTTCTGTTGTGGTGGACCAAGCTCTGGCTTTTGTCCATGAGCACTGCGACAATATGACGTTTAATCACGTTGTCCGCTCAGCGTACTGGGCATCTCTTATTTTCCGGAAAATTCCATCCTTCTCGGCCTCAGGTGTGAATCTGGAGGTTGTCCTCGTGAGTTGCATTTTGCATGACATGGGTTGGGCAAAGACGGCAGCGCTTGTGTCAGAAGACAAGAGATTTGAGGTTGATGGCGCAAACATAGCAAGGGAGTTTCTGCGTGGCTGCAAAGCCTGCAATCCTGAGCTGGGTGATCGATGGAATCAGCATAATATGCAGCGCTGCTGGGATGCTATTGCTCTGCACACAACACTGTCCATCGCAAAGCACGCTGCGGGTGAAGTAGTGCTTACCAACATGGGTATTGCTGTCGACTTCATGGGACCAGCTTTCCCCAACGGCCCGGGAAAGGACAATCTCATAACATCTGAGGAATATCACAGAGTAATGGAAAGATTTCCACGCAACGGATTTACAGCTGAGGGTCTCAAGCAAGTTATGTGTGGATTGTGCCGCACAAAGCCCGTCACTACTTACGACAACTTTGTTGGGGTATTTGGGATGAGGTTTGGAGTAGACGGACATGGAAAAAGAAAGGAGGAATTTACTCGAAATTGGGACGCAAATCAATCAGCAGACCTTCTACTATCGGGGCTATATGCACTAGAGCAATTAGACAGACGGTAATAGAAGTTGAGTCCGCAATTGTGGATACCGTTCTGATGACCGCCGAGCTTTTATATTATTATTTGCTACCAAAGTTAGACCTTTAATGAGGCATTGCCGCACTGTTAATCGGCAATGTGAGTCAATTACGATCAAATTCAGTCATACACGGCAGTTACCGTTACATGTTTCCGGCGAGGGCGACGACTAAACAATCGCTTACTACTAACGTAAATTGTGGCTGTATGGGGACATTAATCATGTCGAGTTCGAGCAAAGACAGCAGCGCGTAGTCGTCTGGCTTTGGCAAGAAAATGCCTTGATGTAGGTGTGACTGATCGGTTGGCAAGGTAGCATCAGGTTTGTGAAGGTAGCGCAGATTGAGAAGATGGAATACGCTGCTATTCCAAGTCGTATTTCGCTTCTATGCATTATTTTTGACATTTCGTTATCCAATTATCCAAGATGGTAGGCTTCTAAACCGGAAACGGCTGACATTGAAACATCAATGGTAAAGTCGTTGCTTGCAAATTAGCTGCCGATTTTGACCGCCTGCCCGCATAGGCTAGGCGCCGCCCCCAAAACCCCTAAGACCCACTTTTCCTCCTCCCGCTGCTTTAGAGAAAATCTATAAGACTAACTACCAAAACCTAACTCTCTCCTTTCTTTCCCTCCTTCCTTATCTCAACCTATCCTTTATCCTATTAACCCTATCAATTCCCACCTCTCTCTTAGTATCGCAGGTCATTATTTCTTTAGTCACGTTAGCCATATTATTTATTAGCCTTAACAGGCTCCGCTTTCCTGTCGTAGCTTTATATTCCTTAATACACGCCTTGTTCTTTCTCTGCTGCTTGGCGTCCCGTTCAGCCGAAATTATAACGGCTAAGGTTCCCAAGGGATAAACTAGTTATAGTTTATATTAGTAAAGCTACTAAAACAGTTAATCTAAGTAGTTAAGTATTATATTAATAATA